ATTGCGATAATTGAAAAATGAAACCATTCCATCATTATTTTCTTTTGACGTTGTCACATTCAACTATCGTCAGTAAACCGACTTTACAGACAACCGATTTTTTAATAACAACAGACAACATAAGTTATACACTCCGTATTTGAACTGTTCCCGAAAACAGACTGGCGATTCGGAATCTTGTCACGATAACAATAACAAAAAATGACATACGAAATATTCAATAATGTATCGCATGGAATGTAAGATCGATTAAATGTCAGGTGACGCGCGGAATGTATGGACGTGAGCACTAACTTTTTTTCCCCAATATACTCGTATTACATATTTGCCGTATAGTATACAGAGAGTAGTTTTTTAAATATTTTTTATTTCTATATCATTTTTAAGGGTAAGTTTGGGGCATTGAAAGTTTTGAAGGCCCAATTGGTGTAGAGTTATCACAAGAGTTATGCACCGGCACTAAGTTTCTACCGGGATCTTTACAATGGCTCATGATTCCAATCCGGTGGTAGATTCAGCGAGCACTGCTCTTGCTAGGGCTAGTGTTAACAAGTTCTGTCAGGTTCAGCCCGTGAGCTCGCCCACCCGTCCGCGCTTATTTGGATTAACCCCTCGAGGCCACTAACGACTAGGGTTTTTTTTAATTTTTTTGTTAGTGCTCTTGTAGGCAAACGAGCATACGGCCCACCTGATGGTGAGTGGCTACCGTCGCCCATGGACTTCAGCAATGGCAGTGGCAGATCCAATTCGCTGCCTACCTGGTAGAAAGAAAAAACAAAATATAGATCGTAAAAAAATAACAACTCTTCAAAATGCCGAAACACGTGACGGAAAGTCTATTGTAATTTGATCTTTCCTTAATCATCCATAAAGAGCAGCGGACTTGGGTCTTTGAGTTTTTTGTACACGCCAAGACATTGGAATTGCAGACTTCATATCGTTTGTTTCGATTTATGCAAGTTTTTCTCAGTTTTAGGATAGTTCACAACTGATTTCAAAGCGAAGCTATGTGAGCAGAAATAAAGCTCTGTTCCACAACTCTGATCCATACATCGAGTCATACTTTCGTGAATTTCACAATACGTAAACAAAACTTTTAATCCTACATTTTGTCAGTTTTTTTTGGATCTAGTCATGTAATTGCCAAACTTTTTCCTCTGGCGTTGGAGCTATTGGATGGTACATGCAATTAACCCACCGAACACGTCGCTTTTGTACCACAGCATCCAACCTCCATATGAAATGTAGCTTGGAAAGATGAAAAACGGAAAGCAAGAGCTTGCGCAAATTAAAGTTACAATTCGTCGGCTAACTAACAGCGTTTTTAAAGACGTAACACAACTATTTACTTACAAGGTTCTTGACTGTTAAATTCCGATCAGAATCTCTGCCACTTTAAATTATCGATTCCCGATCATCCGTGTTCTGTATTAATATCCTGACTTGATTCTCTGTTTTAATTCTATCTGGCTTGGTAACCACGGGCTTACCTTTTCCAACGAAGGTTATCGTGCTGACGGTCGGTTGAACATCGCTTAACCTAACTAACTATACCCAAACCACGGACTATATCACTGCAATCGCGCTTCAAGTAATGGATTGTAGCCTTTAGGACATTTCATTCCGCTTGATTGATTCGTTGGCACATGTTAAACGAGAGGTTTTTCTGGAAACTTCGTATTTGGCGACATAATTAATTTGGATGACTTTCATTTAGAATTCTTGATCACACGAAACGCATTCATTTATGTTGAAAGTATAAAACGGCACGTGCTTCGCTTCTTTAAAATTGTTTTATAAGGCACTGCTTAATACTGCGACTTCTGTTTATTAATTCTGTTTGCTTCTTATATGGATGCTTTGTTATTTGAAGATCTGCTTCTGTTCGATAAGGAATTTAAAAATGTCAAATTGATCCGAATGATTTTTTAACGCAAAAAATAATAATATTGTACAGACTAAACATATTTACAATTGAATCATACATACATATCTATACATTGATTTCGTTTAAACGTATTTAAGATACACTCATTGTCATATGATATGATACAGTAATAGTAAAATATGTTTTCATACACAAGATTTGATGAATTATCTACTATGAATAGATAGTTAGTTAAAAAAGATGTAACAATTTGGCATTCTGAGCTGAGAATAAAGTTTTGTATTTAAATTTATTTTCCTTATTTATTTGTACTGAATTGAAGCAATATTTGGACTTGCGCATTTGTAATTTTTTTATTCAAAATTATCGCTTAGAGATGTGATGTATGTATGCTTTTACAGAAGTAGAATCGGATTGTGTTTCAAAAAGTATTGGGAAAATTGTGGATTTTGTTACTGATTGTACCAAACCATATCTTTTTAAATTCAGAAAACGTCTTTATAGCCTTTTGGAATGTCGGTAAAGGATCCCTCTGTGCCTTCTTTCAAATTCCCACCCAGCTCAATGTATAGCATTGACTGCATACTGACAGTAAGCACCCACGAGTACCTCACGCGAAGGATATACTCAATCAATGCAGCTGACACATAAATCTCATGTTTTATTTTTTTATTTTTATTTTATTGCTTGGTTGGGTGGACGAGCTCACAGCCCACCTGGTGTTAAGTGGTTACCGGAGCCCATAGACATCTACAACGTAAATGCGCCACCCACCTTGAGATATAAGTTCTAAACTCTCGGTGTAGTTATAACCCTTCAAACCGAAACGCATTATTACTTCACGGTAAAAATAGGCAGGGCGGTGGTACCTACCCGTGCGGACTCACAACAGGTCCTACCACCAGTAATCTATTTTAGCTATTAATAAATACAAATCTCTTGATCATCAAATATTAATTCCTTATCGAACTATTAATAAACGAATCGTCCCATTCATTTCAAAGATAAGTCACTAGTACCGTTTCATTTGACATTTGCAACGTGACATTTCGTTGCGTCGGTTGCGTATGAAATGTCAAATCCGTGCGGTACCGTCAGATAAACGAGACGAGCGGCGCATTAACTAAATAAGCCGTAATGGTCCAAAAAAATTATTCAGATTCGATTGTCGTTCAATGAGTCAATGTAGAGTTATTAGGTTTTTATGGTATTTTTTTTCCCTACCTGTAGCCTAAGGCGCTATTCCAATTCCGCGCGGATCGGCTGGTAAGCTCGCGTGCTCAACCTGAGAGAATTGCTAACATTAGCCCTAGCAAGAGCATTGCTTCGCTGAATTTACTACCGGATCGAAATCGCGACCCACTGAGAAGATCCGGCGAGAAACTCAGTGGGTTGTTTCTATGTGGCTATGCTAACGTTACGGGAGTGTGATGAAGTTTTTTTTCTTGATTAACGTTCAATGTGTCACTTCAACAATAATCTTCTGTCTTTAATGACCCCCGCTTCGGTGAAGGCGATCCAACATAGACCTCGCCCCCTAGGCGCGTTTATCTCATAGGAGACTCGGTTCCCGCCCAAAAAAAAGTAGATGTTAAAAATAGGAACCACTTTATCACCAATTTCGGTAGGCAGCGGCTTGGTTCTGCCCCTCGCATTGCTGAAGTCCATGGGCGACGGTAGTCATCAGGTGGCCCGTATGGCCGTCTGTCTGCCTAAAAGGGCAATAGAAAAAAATCAGATGAATTCCATTGCAATGCATCATAAAAAATAACAATATTACATGTAAATAATAAACTATACCATACTATTAATTTAACGGCCAAACTACTGGCGGTAGGGCCAGTAGGACCTCTTGGGAGTTCGCACAGGTAGGTAGCACCACCCTGCCTATTTCTGTCGTGAAGCAGTTATAATATTTTTTATTTTTTTTATTGCTAGATGGGTGGACAGGTGAGCTCACAGCCCACCTGGTGTTAAGTGGTTACTGGACCCCATAGACATTAACGACGTAAATGCGCCACCCACCTTGAAATATAAGTTCTAAGGTCTCAAGTATAGTTACATAATAATAATACATATACATACGTTTCGGTTTGAAAGGTGGGGCAGCCGTTGTAACTATACTGAGACCTCAGAACTTCATATCTCAAGATGGGTGGCGGCATTTACGTTGTAGATGTCTATGGGCTCCGGTAACCACTTCGCGCCAGGTGGGCCGTGTGCTCGTCCACCAAAGTAAGAAAAAAAAAAGTTGCCTGAAAAATTCTATTACAACTACTCTACTGACTTTGCTAACATTCCTTTTCTTACAAGCTATTATTATATACAATTTCCGAATCCCATTTTCTCAAGAAACACTTGTGTGCTATTTTAAAAATGCAAACTATTATAATTAAATACTAGAACACACTTATCTTAATCTTATTAACTCTCACTACGTGCTTAGTCCATCTTGTTTTGCAATGAAGTAGTGCATAACTGGTTTTCTAGTTCAAAGAATAGTACTTTCCCTTAAACATTTAGAGCATTTGTATTCATTTGTTTAGGGGAAAACTAGCAACGGTACTGTATTGAAGAGGATTATGTATACGAAATCTACAAAAGTATATATGACTGAGCATCCTGACTATTCTTGCAGTTAGGTCACCCTGCATTACGGTTCGAAGAGCGGGGTTGCTGCTAAGCAATAAAATTCGACTGTTCCGGTCACATCTTAATACTGTTACGCGCTGGGGTTCCTGATAAATAAAAGTCCCACCAAAGTACAATTTAAAACAGTATTAACACATAGAACACTTTATACTCCGTAATTCACTTCCTCCGCTTCGCTACAGGTGATCCGTTCGCTGTTTCGCTTCGAGTAGATTCGATTACTGACTTTGTGACATCCTTGCAACGCTTTTACAGTCGATACAACATCCCTAGAATTATCGAGAACATTCCTCACAAGTCGAGTATTTTTGATATGCGTACCCGTCATTTGACAATAGATGGCGTTGTACATCTCGAGCCTTCTCGACTATTATTTGTAGATATAAGTCCTGTTTCCAATTTTACAGTGTGTCTTTAAAAGAAACGTATTTAATTGAGAATCGTATACTTTTTGTTACAGGGCAAGTCAGTTATCCGTCCGATAGCGTTCAAGCCGCTGGGCGGGCGTCTCTCTGCGGGCGGAGAGCGATATGGATCCACTCCGGTGCTCGCTACAAGGCCACCGTCGCATATGACTCTGTACGGAAGTAAGTTAATTAATTCATACACAAAATATTGGTGCTTTTTTTATTATAATAATTATTATTATGCCTGGATTTCACGAACATTTTACATTTTTAACTGACAATGTAAAGTATACTCAAAAGAAACAATATATGTATTAATAAATTATGATTTTTTTTCAATTTCTGCCGTGAAGCAGCAATAGGGACAGCCGTCATACTGTTACAACTGGGACCTTAGATCCACTTTGCATCAGGTGGGCAGTGAGCTCGTCCACCCATCTAATCGTTAAAAAAATAATGAAATATAATAGTAAAATCTACATTAATACTATAAGACGTCATTCGTCTCGGCGTGCCTTTCGATAAGGGCTTCCCCCAACTTTTTTTCACTGCTTTCTGTCTGCTGCTACTCGTATCCAAAAGGATTAAAAAGTAATTTTCAGTTCAGCCCCATTCTTCTCGCTTTGCGACTTCAGCTCCTCGAATTATCCCTTGGGTATCAAGCTATCACCTGTTTGCTCTATTTCTGATTTTGGTAGCATATGCCCTGTCCATCTCCATTTGAGTTGATCAATACGTGTCTTTGTTTTTTTTTAAATTTCGTTTTGCCTCTGATGACTACTGTGTGCGTCTGCTTAGTTATATGAATGAAAAAAATGGGATCGCAACTAAAAGCTACGCTACCTTACAATATACTATAAAGTACATTACCTGTTTGATCAGACGGTACTCTTACTCTCACTCTCATAATGAAAAGTCTGCGTTTGTAGATGTTGTCAATAAATCTATCCTTAGGCCCGCGGTCTGATCCCAACATCTACGGACCCTCCAATCTCACATACCCCAAGCGCCCCCAAGCGTCGTAGGTAGGAACCTCGTGCCCCAGTACAGAAAACAAAAATGGTCTTCATCATTAGATCTTCAATCACGGAGAATGCTACTATTTTATTCAAACCTTTAAGGGCCTTATCATACTAGCGGCTTGCGAACGGTTGCAGGGCGAAGCGGACGCGTGGCGAATACCAACGTCTTCGTTACGTATTTGTAGCGAGTTAACGACGTACAATACACTCTATGACAAAATGGATTCCAACGAGGAAACACTGCTGTTGGTTTTGTTACTACGAAGACGCCGGAGGCGAAAACGAAAGCACCGACGAATTTGGGAGGATCCATTATCAATTAATCGAATGGAAGAGAGCGACTACTTGGTTTTTATTGCAAACGAATAAAAAAATATCCAAAACATTTTCGCTCCTACCTGCCTATTTTATGAGTTGTTGCATCTGATACAAACTGACTTAAGACATGAAGACACACGGTGTATGGGTTGACGTTTATACGAGACAGTACAAAATGGCGTTTAAGCTGCTATTCAGGGCGTACTCGGTCCGCTGCGCATGTGCGGCGTCATTACGGATCATCCCGATCCATTAACGGTGCGTTTATGTACCACAAGCACCGGTCACCGTCCTCGTCGAACCCGTCGCTCGCGACGAAGGGCTCGACGAGTGAATTAACCCATAGACACAGCCTACTATACTGAGTTTCTCGTCGGATCTTCTCAGTGGGTCGTGTTTCTGATCCGTTGGTAGATTCTGCGAAGCACTGCTCGTGCTAGGACCAGTGTTAGCAACACTCTTCGTTTGAGCCCCGCGAGCTCACCTACACGTCAAGGAGAAGCTGAAATAGCCTCTCAAGGCTATCAGCATAGCTAGGCCAAAGAAAAAAAATATATGCGCGGCGTGTTCGTTACACGTTCGCTCCGCTTTGAGAACGCCCGCAATNTTCTGATCCGTTGGTAGATTCTGCGAAGCACTGCTCGTGCTAGGACCAGTGTTAGCAACACTCTTCGTTTGAGCCCCGCGAGCTCACCTACACGTCAAGGAGAAGCTGAAATAGCCTCTCAAGGCTATCAGCATAGCTAGGCCAAAGAAAAAAAATATATGCGCGGCGTGTTCGTTACACGTTCGCTCCGCTTTGAGAAAGCCCGCAATCTACTAGTATGAGAAAGCCCTATTATATATGATATACATAATCTGGGTAACCGTAACTTAGGTGTATTTTTATTTCAGGCTCATCAGACGTACGTGAAGGTCGTTGGTGCAGTTCGCCCCAGCCCGCCTCGCTGTCCGCTCTTCCACCCGCTACGCTCTCCACTCCGCTTCATCAAAGACACCACTCAGCTATAGTGTGAGTAAAATTTAAAAAAAAAAGTCGTATTCGCTATTATAACAAGACTTGAAAGGATTCGTTGATAAATATGCTGTTTCTAATTTTTCTAATAAAAATAAACGATTTTCTTCAAAACGTACAATTATAAAAATTATTAAAATTGTATTATTAAGGTCAAAATAAACTATATCTATTTGTTCTTTAATTCTGCACGTAGACACTAAGCTACGTAGTACCTCTTCAGAAACTTTTTTTTAGCATCATAAAATGAATGCACAATGGTTTCACTAGTAAAAGATAAATGAAGTAAAACAACATATGCTATTTATACATGAGCGTACCGTAAGTGGTCGTGCATTACACATTAATTAAAATAATTAACATGTGTAGTCGCGTGATGCGTCTACACACACGATGTATGTTCGTGAATGAAACGATGAGTGATAAAATGACGCTTTGTTTAATATACTCTTTCATACACACATTAATAATACACTTTCAAGATACACAGTAATAATTTCTATTGAACCTATATAAAATGTATTGTTATGTAATTCAACAATAGTCAGTTTACGTTAGCGACGATTTCAAATCAATACCTAACGTAAGATTGTTCAATATTAAGTAATTTAACAATCATTTTAATGGGACAGTACAGTCTTTCCATAGTAATTATAACCTATGATCGATTTGTTTACTATGATAAATTTCTGCGTTGTTACGTCTTATGTTTGTTTCGGAAAATGAAATACATTATGAAAAACCACATCAAAAATATTTTTTTTATTATACAAAAGACGGAAACCTAGACACGGGCTAAACAGAATTACATTTATTTTTTACTGGTGGTAGGACCTCTTGAGAGTCCGCGCGGGTAGGTACCACCACCCTGCTTATTTCTGCCGTGAAGCAGTAATGCGTTTCGGTTTGAAGGGTGGGGCAGCCGTTGTAACTATACTTGAGACCTTCGAACTTATATCTCAAGGTGGGTGGCGCATTTACGTTGTAGATGTCTATGGGCTCCAGTAACCACTTAACACCAGGTGGGCTGTGAGCTCGTCCATCCATCTAAGCAATAAAAAAAAAAAAAAAAAATTATTAGAACACAAATAACAATAAAAAGAATCTACGGTATCTTTTGTTTTTTTATTTATATTAAACACACATTATCCTTCTACTAATAAACATCAATTGGAGCTGAATTATAGCGGCTAGTTTAATTATTTTCACAATTATATTCCGCATCAAGACATTAATTACTTTTTTCCTTGTATTTCAAAGCGACATTTTAGCAGCGACACGCGCCATGTTTGTTCGCATTGTCGCACACAACGCATAGAATAGACGCGAGCGCGCGTGTGGTGCCGTTATTGTTACAATTTTTTTTTTAAACCATTTATAAGATTTTATTTTTGTTCTCCGGTGAAAAAACGTAAATTTGAAAATGGATTGAAGTGAAATTCTCTATGCAGAGGTCAGTAATAGTCACATAGATTCAAGTTTGTACACATAAATATATTTTCGTAAATTTAGTGTTGTTCTCTCTTTTCATCTATTATATTCTTGTATTAAACTACATAACGTTTGAAAATAGGTTATATTTCTATTGGTATTGACATTAATTTACCATTTGAAACTTTTTAAGACGTTAGACCTTAAAGACTGCAACTATTAAGAATATTTTCTGTGTTTTGGTATTGCGTAAATGTTAAAATCAAGTCTAATGTGAAAATGACTGTCATTAGGGGCATTTAACGTCAAATGTCATAGGTCAAGTGCCATCACATTATGAACGTTATTGCCACAAAAACAGACCTTCAAATAAATACTTTACAATGCCTATTTATTTACAATATAATTCAATTGGCTTCACAAAAAATATCCACGGTTATACAATTTGCTTCAATGCTAATATCATATTCTGATCACGAATGCATTAAAAATATTAAAGCTAAGTAAATGATTAGTTACTGGCAGGTAGTACTAGGCTAGGCTGTGCTCTTGATATGACTGATGTCAACGGGAGACGTAGCCCTATTCAACCAAAGATTTGCGCGTCTCTTATCAAAATCATAATATCGATAAAATCGAAATTGTAAAAAAAAATTCACTATGTAGCATTTTTTTTAATTCCACACTTAAAGCACTTAAAGCAATGCCCTTGCGCGCATTTTAAACAAGATGTCACCTAGGATTCTGTGACAGAAATTTTTTACCGACGCCTAAATGTTGCTTATGACATTTTCAAGATAACTGCAAATATTTAAACAAGTTCAGAACAATAACATTCGGACCTTCGGCAATTCCCGGAATTCCCCCGCCATTTTTTTCCATGCCCATGTACGCAGACGAGCATACGGCCTACCTGATGGTGAGTGGTTACCGTCGTCCATGGACGTCAGCAATGCCAGGGGCAGAGTCAAGCCGCTGCCTACTGTTTGTGAAAGACCTCCCCTTGTCGTTAAATTCAAATACTTCATAAGCTGGATTTTTTTGAGCTCGTATGCCGACATCTAATTAAGGATAATTGCAACATGCGCTTTTAGCATTGTAATGGACTATTAAATCGTTATCAGCACATTCAGCCATTTCCTGTTTGTATCGGAGAACTGGCCCACGCAAAAATTGCAGACGAACAGTGAAATTGTTTCAATAAACAAATAACCGTATAATATTATGTAACACTTAGGATTTTTTATTTTTTTAATGCTTAGTTGGGTGGACGAGCTCACGGCCCACCTAGTGTTAAGTGGTTACCGGAGCTCATAGAAATCTACAACGTAAATTCCGCCACCCATCGTAAGATATGAGTTCTAAGGTCTTAATTTTTAACAGTACAACGGCTGTCTCGCCCTTCGAGCCGAAACGCATTACTGCTTCACGGCAGAAATAGGCAAGGTGGTGGTCTACCCGTGCGGACTCACAAGAGGTCCTACCACCAGTAATAACCAGGATGTAATCATTCTAAGGATAAATCATAAAATCAAATATGTTAAGTCAAAAACACTAAAAAGACTGGCCACAAGATCTTAAAAAAAATTGTCAGTAAAAATGTTGTGGTGGATAAAAGCAACTTACATATATATGTACATACATACTTGTTAGGTTATATTTCTTATTTTGGGAAGTAGTATAATAATCGAACAACCAATTTTACTATACAGTAATGGTAATGGCAATATAGACTTTTCTATCGATTACCATTCTGCCTATATCTGCCTCGAAACAGGCGATATTCCGATTCTGAACGCTTCACTTCAGTCACGAATGTAGAAAAAAAATATTGAAGGTTATTTCAATAATTTTCGCGGCAAAAAGTAGCGGAAATTTCAAAAAAAAATTTGATTACTTTTTTTATATATAAGAGTATTAAAACGAATATAGCCTTCGTTAAAATACAATAGCGTGCGAGAGATGATTTGAGGAACTACGGTGTGTGAGCTCAGGCACTGCGTTACCTACATTCATACAAACATATTCGCTCTTTGGGATGTACATAAACTACAATTTTAATCCTACGTATATTAAGCAATAAAAAAAAAGAAAAAAAAATTATGTTTGTGTTATGAATGTGAAAGTTTGTTGAAGAATGTATGAATGTATGTTTGTTAATTTTTGACGCCAAAACTGTTGGATGGATTTTGATGAAACTTTACAAATTTTATAGCTTACACATCAGAATAGCATATAGGCTATAATATATAAATATATCGTGTGAATTACCCAAAATATAACGATAAGTGTCAGAAAAGGTAAGAAGAAGTCTGCCATCTGCGAGCTATTCTAGCGTACGCTGTCAAAACCGTAGGAGTTACATCTATGTATACATATGTATTATATACTAGCCGTACTCGCTCGCTTCGCTGCGCATTTAAAATTAACATTATTATTTATTGTCATTATGATTAGGGAGTCCAACAGTCATATAAATATTAGCATATCCATTAAGTACATGTATTTTCTACATGGATACCAAGTTTCAAGTCAATCAGATGCATGGTTCAGTAGTTATAACGGAACATCCGTAAATCCACTGTAGATTTATATATTAGTATATGTATAATAGAAATGATTATCTTAAATAGTCCTTCAAAAAAGCACCCGACAGCATATTATTATATCAGTGTTACTCTAGCGTGTAGGTGAGCACTCGGGGCTCAAACTGGAATTGCTATTACTGGCCCTACCAAGAGCAGTGCTTCGCAGAATCTGCCACTGGATCGGAAACGCGACCCACTGAGAAGATCCGGCGAGAAACTCAGCGGGGAACTCGCATGTCTACAATACGTTAATACCAAACAAAGACCCATTAAAGTATTCAATTAAAATTTGTATTGGCGAACGTTCGCGTAATCGACGCCCGGCTTCCCGTATCCGGAAGTATCGCAATCGTGATAACTCCAAATTAATAACCCGTGCTATTTTAACGAATAACAAGATTGTATGTGTTAATCAAATTTTAGTTTTAGCGTTAGTGTTAGTGTTTCATTCGGATCGTGCTAATTCGAAATGATAATTTTTGACACAAAAGATCACCGCGGTCGAAGTGTCGGTAAAGCCCAAAAAATCCAGTTAAATAACTATTTGTTTAGTATTGAGATTCTTTTTAAAAAGATCCTAGTCTGTTTTATGTTCATTTTTCCGGCGTTTCATCAAGCCTTGGAATGAACTCCCCGCTGTTCAGTATTTCGTGTTATTTTTTTCCAGCCCTCTAACTTGTGATAAACATCTAACCAGATTTGAAAGAGGTACAGTCGAAATCCATAAATGAAAATCCTGATGCAAGAGCCCGTAGGCACTATAGAGTCAATGTGGCCCTATGCTTCAACGCTTAATTCCCACTATTCTTCATCTCAGAACACCGCTGTTTAAATTATTTTTTTACCCACATGGCTGTCACACTGACAAAATAAAAGACCCATATTTTCTTTATTTTTTTGGTAGAAACTGCCCAGATCGTCTGCCAAGTTCATTTTAGACCCGTCCTCTCCAGCCCGATGATTTGAGCCGACTCCAACAAAGCCTTTTAGGCTTGTCGCTTCTTTATTAGATACAATGACATGATAATTATAACAATCACAGACATCTAGTTCATTACATACATTTAATTAACGCAACTTTTTACGGTTTACATTTAGAAATCTTTACAGTTTCCGTGGTCACAGATGACGGAGATAATGTGACAACATTAGTATCCGCAAGATTAAACCATAAATATAGTATCAATTATATTTGTACGATTTGTGAAAACCGAATAAAAAAAGCATACATTCATGTGATAATAGCTCTTATGTTACGCTGGACGTAAGTGAGCACACGTTAATACTTAAAATCATAACGTTTCCTCATCAAATTATAATTTGAATGAAAAGCCCCAAAAAACCACAGACCGTAGTATACGCACTCTTGCAAAATGAATTTATACACAATGATGTTATTAAAAATTCACGTTATAAATATATAGAGCGAGTTGAATGTATGTAAATGTTTTGTTCTCAAGAAATAATATGTGCATCGTATAGTTTCGTTTCTTCTTGCCTTGACGAGGTAACTGCTCGTGACAAATTACGCTATGTAATAATTATTTACTCTGTGGCATTTTCAAAGTTTCATTAGGATTTAATTTTTTTCATTCACTTCAGATATTAAATCCATATTACGTTAAAAATAACACTTCGCATAGAATACAAAAAAAGAATATAAAAACAACAACAATTTCATAATAAAATTAAAACAAAACTACCATAACCTGGTTTGGATCCAGAGTGCTCAACATGCATTAATAAATTAAATCAAGATATATATTATGAACATATTAGAGTGGTAGATTCTGCGAAGCATTGCTCTTACTGGGACTAGTGTTGGCAAATTCTTTCAGGTTGAGCCCGTGAGCTCAGCTAGCGGCGAATAGGTAGGGGATAAAAGCCATCAATGGTTTGGGTCGCGAGACGCGGCGTGTCAAGTATGAGCGCTTTCTGTACCAGACACCCAACAAAACGGCGATAGCTTCTAAAGGGCTTTTTGGTCCACCATTACTCCGTAGTTATCCCATAAGGTCTAGTTTAATATCCCCAAGATGATGACTAACGAATCAACAAATTTATCCTAATCATTGAACATCAAATAACTCACGGCTCTAAATTAATGATTATAATTAATAATACGTTTATACATATTTAGAAGTTACATGAAGTTGGTCTTCATTGATAAATCAACAATGGCCCGCAACTTTCGAGATCTTTTCTGGCGTTATCATGTTTTTAATTTGGCTGTTAGTCACTTGTACCATTGGTATTCTATTTGTGAAGAAGTAGAGTCCCTGTCAATAGTTACCGCGGGATAGCGGTTTATAACCACACAGTAAGAAGCTGATATAATAATATAATTGTCGTAATATCTAAGTAAGGCGTGACGTTTGCGCTCGACGGGTCGTCTTGCTCCGGCGGCCGACCGTGGAAATTCTCTTTTGAGCTTGTTAGAGCTGCCATTGTCTCGAAGCATCAAGAACGATTTGTATGCAGCTTTTATTAATGGTTGTTAGATACTGTTTTTGTTACAACTGATAGTGTTTCTATTTTTTTGGATAAATATGTAAATACGCACCGGTCACCCAAAAAAAAAAAAAGTCCTCGCCGAACACGTCACTTTTTTTTTATGCTTAGATGGGTGGACGAGCTCACAGCCCACCTGGTGTTAAGTGGTTACTGGAGCCCATAGACATCTACAATGTGAATGCGGCAGCCACCTTGAGATATGTTCTAAGATCTCAGTATAGTTACAACGGCTGCCCTACCCTTCAGACCCAAACGCATTACTGCTTCACGGCAGAAATAGGCAGGGCGGTGGTACCTACCCGCGCGGACTCACAAGAGGTCCCACCACCTTGCGACGAAGGGCTCGATGAGTAAACCTGAAGAAACACTAAATAGACAAAATAAAACAAATCACACAACTTCACTCCTCGCGTTCCCGCCAAAAAGTATCTTCAGCTTAAAAGATCCCCATTAAAACAAAAATGCAGTTAAAAGGATCGAAAAGAAAACCCATAATGAAATAAGAGATGACTCACCTATATCTAGATAAAAAGCAAAAGTAAAAACGATAAACATCGCACGTATAAAAACGCATCGCGAATTTCAATCGACAAACGTGCCCCGGCGTGACCGTCTGCAGCACCAACACATATTTAAATAAAACGAAAACATTTAAATACAATTTAATGCGATTAAACCTTCATTAAGTGTCGTATCAATCGATGACTTGTGAGATAATGAAAGACGGGTACTGATAAGGTTTCGAGAATACGACCCGGAGACACAGTTTCAAAAACCGGTCGAGAAGTGGGTTTTTGCTTGTATTTTCCGGGAAGGCTTAATAACACTAACGGTAACAATTAGAAATGTTTGGAACTCTACAAAAATTATTAATAGCACAGGTGATACTGGCATTGGAAGTCGAAGATATTAGATAATTCGCTTACCCATGCTCTAAAAAATAATCCATTAACAATAATTAAAATCATTTTTACGTCAAAGTCGACGATATTAGATAATTCGCTTACCCATGCTCTGAAAAATAATCCACTATTAATAATTAAAATCACTTTGACGGCTAAATAAGTATCGCATTTTTTATTGCCATCATAATTATTTCGAAAGAAGATACAGGGTGATGTTTTTGTCATTTTAATGTTTCACACGGTGTTTAAGATTGTCTGTTTTCATTTGTTTACAGAACGAAGTCTACGTCAGTACTAAGCGGGGACAGCAAGGAGCCCGCGCCTGCGCCCTCGCCGGCTGACTCCGGAGTCTCGGAACTGGAGAGAGACCACCATGACTATAGGTAAATATTAGTATACCGAATCATCGAAGTTGCGGGTATATCAGCCCTTATCATGAGAAGTCAGCGATACTACTACTGCTGGAGACCGTTTTGTCTTCTAACTGAATAGATTTTTTAGTTAATGATTGAAAACAACGTTGTTATAAGGACCTGCATTTTTAGTAATCAGTGATAGTTAAACTGTATCTTGTTTTACTAAATTAAGGCTACATCCAGCAGTGGAGAGATACAAGCTGATGACGAAAAGGCTGAATGTTAACCTGTAGAAAATGTAAAATAACCTGTAGAGAATATTAGTAATGCATTTTTCAAGGTTTTTTTTTCATTAAAAGTAGCCGTGACTTAATCTTTATCTGTTCTGCAACAGACTTAATGTTTAATAAGTTTCTTGGTGATAAAAAAAAGGAATACATACTTAATACGTATAACAGAAGTCTAGTAAGTTAACTAAATCGAAACGCATTAAATAAAATAAGTTGAGGATACCAATACCAATACAATTAAGACATAGGCTTTCTGTATCAGTTTGGGCTGTGATGTTGGTGCAGTGCTATTCGTATCAATCGACATCAATCAATGTCTTTATTTTTCATTTAGCTACTGTCGAATTTCATAAAAGAAATATCCATCCATATCTAACGATAGCGTAACGGTTCGTCAAAAAACTAATTTGTACCGAAATATTTTCATTTATCCAATTAAGTCTTCAATATTAGTACATGTAATCCAATTTGTTGGTATTAATCTCAAAAGCTTTGGCCATTAGCAGTAGTTTTAATAAATTAACATAAAAACTGCAGTATATATTATTTTGTTTTCTTATTTGTATTCTTATTTTTTATTTGAGACTAGCTGACCCGGCAGACTTCGTAATGCTTCAATCGATAAATAAAAGACCTATAATTTTGTATAAAATAAACTTAAAACAAAAAAAAAGGAAACCAGAATTGTTATTTTTATTGAATTCCGAGCAATTTCATATTTATTTACCTTTTAAACCTTCTGTGGACTTCCACAAATAATTCAAGACCAAAATTAGTCAAATCGGTCCAGCCGTTCCCGAATTTTAGCGAGACTAACGAACAGCAATTCATTTTTATATAATATATAGATAAGAAACAGTTGTAATGGCACTTCATAAAATGCACAATGATACGAAATGTTTCTAGAAATTAGTGTTTCATTTGATAGTTACAGGGTTTTACTAGTAGCGGATAAATGTCTTTACAGCCTTCTTCTGGCTAGAAGCAGGTCATTAAGTCACCAACCTTGAGCTATAAAATAGTTTACCTCCTAACCCACTGCTTTCGTTTTTACGACATAGCCGCGAAGATTACATTTTCACATACCACAACAAAATGTAGTGTTAATTTCAAAGAATCTCTATACGGTTGAGGTGAAAGCTGAAGGCTCAAAGACAGATATTAGGACATTTGTATTATTATTATTACTCTTAAAATTTTTACTGGTCTTTTTTATTGCATGGGTGGATGAGCTCACAGCCCACCCGGTGTTAAGTGATTACTGGAGCCCATAGACATCTACAACATAAATGCACCACCTACCTTGCGATATAAGTTCTAAGGTCTCAAGTATAGTTACAACGACTACCCCACCCTTCAAACCGAAACGCATTACTGCTTCACGGCAGAAATAGGCGGGGTGGTGGTACCTACCCGTGCGGACTCACAAGAGGTCCTACCACTAGTAAAAATATTCGAAATGTTTGAAAATATTCGAGAGTAATGCTCCTGTCAATATAAAAAAGATGATTTTTGGATTGAAAAGTAAAAAATCATAATATGCCAAAGTCTTTGAGTTAACTAGCAATTTAAATTGTTGATAAAACATTATTGGTATTTTAATGACGTCCTAAACGTTTGTATAATCTAAAATCTTCCTTGAAAATAACCACTGTAAATTGTATAATAATTAGTTTAAACATTCACGTTGGACGTTTATCTATTTTTCTAGTACAACGGACCGTCTCCGGCACGAGGCTCGTCTCCGAGCTCCCCGTGGCCTCATGCTACAGAGCTTCGGCAGCCGTCGAGACGAGAGGGACGCCGAACTCGCCAGGGTCAGGCGAGACAGAGCGCTCTTACGACAGAGACTTGAGGATACCGAATGGAGTCTATGCCAGCGGGCGGGGGAAATCGCTCTGTTAAAGACACAACTGAAGGATGCTCAGGTAACTTCACCGTCAACATGAATCTAAATGTTAGCAGGGACAATGGTAGCACAAAACATATCGTCGTTGTCAAAACAAAATCTGCTATGTGCACTTTTTGAGATTTATACTTTTTAACCTTTTCGTATATTTCACAGCCCAATCTACCGTATAAAAAAATGCTATGTGTCTATAGCTTTAATAATTATCTAAAGCTTTCATTTGATACAGTTCTTAAAATATCACCTTCATATACAATTTTATACGAAAATGTTTTTACTCGTTACCTAATTCAAAATAGAGTTTTTGCACATAGCAGATTTTGGTTTGACAGTGACGATACGCAAGTATCTATACTAATGCAATACACAAAAAATATAAACTATGACAACTTTTTCGTTTACAGAACGAGCAGACAACAAAGGGCCACGAATATCTCACACTAAAAGCTGACTGCCGCCAGCTGAGGGAGACGCTCGACAAAAAAGACAAAGAAATCATGAGACTCCGAGCCGAATCGGACGAGAAACAGAAAAACGTGAACAGACTCCAATCCGAAGTGGACAGACTCACGGCCGACCTGAGAGACAACATCGCGGACCTGAACAAAACAAAGGAAACGAACAAGAACGAAATAGACAAACTGAAGACCGAACTCAAGGAGCTAAGACAAGAACTGTCTGACGTTTCTCTTAGCGGATACGAGGGTATCGAATGCGGGAGGACCATGAGGGGGATATATGACGTTTGCAAAACAAATGAATACCACTGGACGTCCAGTGACTCGGCACTAGAAGACGCCGAAGTCCAAAGGCTGAATGGGGAAATGCCGGACGCGTGCGGAGACCACTGCCCCGCGAACTCAATCCTTGACCGCCTCAAGCACGAGTTGCAAAACAAAGAGACCCAATTCAACAACGAAAGGAGGAAATGGTCCGAGGAGAAGGACAAGGTGCTAAGATACCAGAAGCAGTTACAGATGAACTACGTGCAGATGTTCAAGAGATCGCGCACGCTCGAAGCCGAAGTCGACGGACTGAGACTGGAGCTCGAGTTGAGCAACAAGAACATGAAGAATATAAACAAACACGGGAAGGCAATAGAACTTTAATACCAAATCTAAAATTAATATTTATCTTACACATACTGTAAATATACGTTGTCGGAGTGTCTTGCCGGCGTCGGAATCGCGCGTAATAATACTCTGGCGGTGACGTCACTTGTTAGTTTAAGATATACGTTGTCTGTGGATTTCGGAAACGTGGAATCTATCGATTTGTGCTATTTTTATAAGATAAAAATAAGTTATTATAATGAAAATAAAATATTTCGAATTGAGAATTAGTTTTTTAATCGGTGTTAGTGATCGGTAGTCGAAATTCGACTGTAGGTAATTAATTGAAATTATTATGTTAATGCACTATTATGATTCTATTGTCAAAGACAGATTTTGCCAAGACTACACTTTAAATAAATGTTAATAAAGACAAACAATATATTTTAATCTATTTTCAATTTGACCACAGACTAAGTAATAATAAAAGTTTTACAATAAAAAAAGAGTATGATGCGTGTGTGTCAAATACATGGTAGTCTGTGTAATGTTTTTTTATTAATTTAATGTATTTTTATGCATAATTCCAAAAAATATTAACATTCTGCACTCCTTCTCTGTGTTCTCTATAAGTGTGGAAAATTTCATACTCCTCCGTTCGCGTAATTTTCGTAAAAAGGGATACAAAATTTTTGCTTCACGTATTAATATATAGATTTGTGGGTGGGTTAATAAAATTCTCGTAATGCTGTGCATAATAAACGTGTTTATTTCCACACACTTGCATATAAAATTTATGGAGCAGAACCTTATTATATTACGAGTAAACTAGGTCAACGACATCGCTTTAAACTACATTCATAAGCAGAAACAATTAATATATTGCATAAAAAGCAGAGCAACAAGACACACGGCCAATAAGATTTTATCAGTTTTACGTTTTTGAAATTCTCTAAAATAAAATTTTTAAGATCGGTTATCAAAGAAATCTCAGATCTCTAAATCTGACATAGAATTAGATTTTAAAATTTCGGCTTTAAATCGGAGAGACCGAAGTTTCTAGAACGAAAAGTGAATCCTTCGCCTTTGACGAAATTTCCGATGTTATTTCTCGTTGATTTAGCTGGTTCCACCTGAAATGATATTACATATACAGTCGCACCGCACGATGCGAATCCACTGGACGTCTTATCGTTTAGACCACGATGACTTCGTTAAATAAATAATTAATTCGGCGTATAAATAGGCAAAAAGAAAACGGTTAACATTATCCGCTGGTCATCCAATTTTCTTGTTAGTATTTGTTTAGTAGAAATTGACAAGCTTTAGTGGTATCATTAGGAAGATGTTACAAAATGTTTTTTTTAAGCTTTAAAAACAAAGTGGAATGCATAATATTAGTGTACGTAATCATGACGTCTCAGTTTAATGGTCGATCATTGAGCTGAAACTAGTCTTTTTCTTAAATAGGCAAAGACAGAAGTGTGTTTGTCAATCGAAATTTTCTTTTCGTTTCATATCGACCAGCTTTACGGTTAAAATTAGATTTAACCGTTAGATTATAAAAATTTAGATTGGAATCAATTTTCTCTCACTTTTATAAGATAAAAATGTCTATAAACATTTGCTCGAACATCGAACATATCTACGTCAAAAAAAAAAGAAAAATGACAATAATATGAAACTTTAACACTAATAATACCAACACTTACTGATACCTATTTCTACCGTAGCGAGTAAATAACGGTATTCCACAAATGTTACTCAAAATAAACAAAACAAACAAAAAAAGTACATATAATGACAGTAGAAAAATTCATGAAGTCAAATGTGCAAAAGCAATAAGATGATACGTGCATTTTCAATACAAAAGCTCAAAATGGGTCATTTGACCCGTTATGGTATATTTAGTGTTAATTTAGTTAGTAACATCTTCTACATATTATTTTCGGACATTATATAGACATACCTGTGTAACGTCACGGACAATTGGACTTCGCCTCCATTTATACCACCAGTACTCGACGCCCAGAGTGATGCAAGCAAGTCCTATCCCCATAAAGATAACTATGAAAACACCTCCGATGTTCTGAATAGAGATCCCGTCGGACTGGTCATCTTGCTTTTCACATTTCATCGCTTTGGGATTATTGTTCCACCAGTTTTCTTTGAGCTTCTCTAGTCTACGTCTGTTAAGTAGCTGCAGAATCCTGTATCAGTAACGAACGAAACGAAATTGAAAAATCAATAGTTATCACCAAGAAAGAGAGAGAGAGTATTCTTTATTGTACACCAAAAAACAAATAAACAGTGCGATAAATTAAATACAAAAAAGTACAATTGGCGGTCTTATCACTAAGAGCGATCAAGATTATATTCTATTGTGAAAGTTAGTTGTATAACTATTCATATTCATATTCTTAGCTAATCGTGAATATACCACACACTGATATTAGGGTTTTTTTAGTATTCGCCTTTTAAGCAGACAAGCATACGTCCCACTTGATAATGAGCGGCTACCGTCACTAATGGACGTCAGCAATGCCAGGGGCAGAGCCTAGCCTTGGCCTGCCGAGGTAGGGTTGAGCCCACACGTCTACCACTAACATGCCTATTTCTGCCGCGTAACAGTATTTATTGCGTTTGTTTGAAGACTGAAGAAGCTGTTCTAATATACTAACTGAGACTTAGAACCTCAATATGGCTGGTGGCATTCACGTTGTGATATATGTGTGACTCGTCGACTTGAACCCGCTATTACTATAAAATAATTATCTGACCGTACCGTTCATAGTAAGCATCAATTGGTATTTTTTTTTTATGAAAGGTAACCGTACTCGTCGAACTCGACAAATAGTTCGCCGTGCAACCTAACCCATGAATCAGCTCGCTGAGTTTCTCGCCGGATCTTTTCAGCGGGTCGCGATTTCGATCCGGTAGTAGATTCATTCGCGAAGCAGCTGCTCTTGAGCTGTTAGGTCTCCTTCGGAGGCGCTCGGGTAGCTGTTGGCAAATCCCACCCCTCCTGGCTGAGCCTTTGCTCGCCCACCTGTCCTGGTGAAACTGGAAAGACCTCCGGGCCACCAGTAAATATTCAATCACAAAAAAAAAAAAATATATTATGAAAATAAAATGGGACTAGTAGTGACATCTTTTGCAAGAATAGATACAACTTAGAAGAAACTCACTATATGCACAATAGATGACAGTAAGAGACAATTGATATGTTGAACTTAAATTTTCTGTAGGATTTAATGAATACAGCACGGGATCATTAGGAAGCCACGTAATTTAGTAAAAACCCACAAATAAATTTGAGATTTTATTATAGCAAGTTTTGCCTTTTATTTTGGAATACTAAGAATTGTGACCGAAGTGTTAGATTCTTTGATTGTCTTTTTTATTAATATCACAGTTCCAATATTACAATAGGTTTACAATGATGCATTACGTGAATTCTTGTCAATAATTTTAACGATATTATAAGTTTGAAGATGAAGCGGTTCGCGACCTCAATAGCAACAGTATTCAAAGGCTATGAGTAGGTATCAATCTATTAATACGAGAATAATGTTCGCCTTTTATTATAATCCAACACTGCTACTAATCCTTTCCTAAACTATAAATTTTTTACTGATGGTAGAACCTCTTGTGAGTCCGCACGGGTAGATACCACTACTCCGCCTATTTCTGCCGTGAAGCAGTAATACATTTCGATTTGAAGGATGGGGCAGCCGTTGTAACTATAATGGACCTTAGAACTTATATCTCAAGGTAAGTGGTGGCATTTACGTTGCAGATGTTTATGAGCTCCAGTAACCACTTAACATCAGGTGGGCTGTGAGCTCGTCCACCCATCCAAGCAATAAAATTTAAAATAAAATAAACCCTATTTTACCTACAGGTCTTATCCCAATTTCGAAAACAGATTGCTATCAGACAGGCGGTAGGAAAAATACAATCCAATCTATTTATATCACTGTTTCGATACATTTAGAGGCTGCTGTGCCAACCCAGCACAGAAAAGCAGCATTTTCAAACAAATTTTCAATTTATGCATCATTTCCACGCAATGGCGGATCCAGGGGGAGGGTCATGGGGGTCATGACCACCCCCTGAACTGGGTCCAGGACTTAGGTGGACCGCTAATTGAATATAATGATTTTATTTATATATTTTGTCACCATACAGTTTTTATGTAACTACATACCTTCAATATTTAATTAATTTAATATAATATAATAACTTTGTATAATGGCAAACGTTTGGGAACGAACGCATCTAAATTTGACTATGTGACCCCCTCCTGGCGCCAAAGCTGAATCCGCCCTTGTTTCCACGTGCATATAGAATATGCGAAACGTGATGATGCGTTTAGCCGTAATTTATTAATAGTATCCACTTATGACGTAACCGAGTATGGCGGTATAAACAAAGAACAACAGTAATAAATAATTTAGAAGTGAAAACATAGATGAGCTTGTTGTAGGCATTAGTTGCATCATAATTTTATTATCTCGTAATCTATAAATGAGTCGACTATTATCAAAGCCGGCAATGTGACTTTTGGACAATTATTGGTAAATCAGAAAAACGAATTATTGACTTTGTATTCCATTGGCAGTCACAAAACTCTTCTGAACGACATCTTAGATAAATAACAGGTTAAGTATTAACCTTTATTTAATGCAGGTTTTGAACCGTATTCTTTGAAGGAGACGATTATATTCAAATCAATCTGTATTGACATATCAATAACATTTTTTTGTCCAAATGCACAGATTGCCACCTTTGATAATAGACGACTCAAATATACTTATTAAAATCAATTTGTGTATGCATGTTAAGTACATCAAAACAGCTGGATTGATTCAGATAAGTTTTTTAGGAAATTTTTAAGCTGTCCTAACGGGTATCTATGTGAAGTTTGATAACGATTGAATAAAATTCAACTCAAAGATTGAGAATCAAAGAAAGAACATCTGAAGTAACAAATATAATACTAACGCCATCTATCGACACTCAAAGAATCTTTGACCACAATTAAACATTACTTTCTATCAATAAAATAGACGCTACATTCTCAATGTACTTCACAATACCATTCGTTTTAATTATATGTACATTATGTACTCATAATTTAAAACGCGATCAATGTGTACGTAATCATGTCCAAAGATTCGGATTTTACTAGCTGCCAATTAATTATACGAAACATTATACAAGCTGAAACAAAATTATGATGCCATAATAAATACAATATGTATTAATAACAACGTTGGTAATG